GGTGATTTGAAACAACTTTTTCCTTAGCGAAAATGTTGTCCGAGGCTTCGTTGAGGAGATATTAACGGAGAACATTGACCAATCAGAGCGCGAGTATGCCGGTGGAGCGCTCGCGGGTAGCGTATGAGCGCGGCCGCCTAGCGCGTAGTCACGCCTATCGCGGGCGCTGCAACGGTATCCGCGCGCTCTGATTGGTCGGGGTTTTCCGTTAATATCTCCTCAACGAAACCTCGGACAACATTTTCGCTAAGGAAAAAGTTGTTTCAAATCACCTCCCGAACCACCCCTTCCAAGGTGTTACAACATTTTTGGGACACCCTGTATTTTACCACATTTCTCGACGAACGAATCGCACGTATTTTCTCGCAGGAACAATGTTACGTGGTAATCGATCACTGTAAATACCGAAACATTTGAATTACAAATCTTGGACTTACGTGGAAGGGTAATTACAGAACGCGGGGGTAAGACGGCCCCCCTGCTAGAACGCAGAGACACCACGGCTGGTGTGTCTCGCCGACGAAGCCCGCAGAGAAACTGCTCGAATGGTTCGGTTCGACGTACGTATCGCAGGAAACGAGGAACTGGATGGTAGGAGAGTTCGATAGAGATGGGTAGGGTCTTGCAGCTTGCAGTGGGTTTTACGACTGCCAAGGTCAGCTGCTTTCCATAAGAACGGCGACGCGAACGTCTCAACGACTGCCGCTCAATTAATAGAGAACGAGCGTCGCGCTTCGAGAGCGTCGGAACGTTGATAGAATTATCACTTCCTCGAGCATGGATCGTATTCTCGAATTGACGACAGAGATAGTGTCCATATGTTTTTGTCTCAGATTGGTTACTTCACGATGATAAGCACCAAACACGTCGATGGCCATGTTATTTCGATCGCTCTAAATAACGCACGGATCATCCGATAGAAATTCGAATCCCACAGTCATTCTTACGGCAGAGCACACGTCGATTGGCTGCAATTAGTTTTATGGCGGTCAATGACGTCATCGAATCATTAGCTATTCGCTTCAACAGTTCGATTCTATTTTCAATTACACGCGATGCCACGTCATTGTTGATAATAAACGTATGTAGTGTACTTCTTGTCACCTAATTATCTTTTATGCTCTGTGAAAGCAACGTCTAAACTAGAGTTGTAATAATTTCTTTTGTCTTGTAAACAAGGCAATAAAGTTACGAAGAAATGTTTCGTTTAAGGACGATATCAACGTTAATATAATCGAGATAATTCAAGTCAATTGAGGTAATAGAGACATGGTCGAATTATACAAATACACTGTTGAAAAGCTACAAAGTTATCTCTGTATCGGATTAAAAATTTGTGAAGATTTGTGAACGCATTGTTTTCATGCTTACTTTTAGTATATGGAATTTATGCAAGCTTGTAAGTCTAGTATATAAAACGGAGCAGTCGTTATTGTTAATACTTCAAAACAACCAAAAACATATTAAATCAAGGACCACATTGTATCGATACGAATATACGTCGTAGAAAAAATAAAATGGTGTTAAATTCCAGATTGTTACAACTGTACGACGGTAATGCTATACTTCTGCTTAAAACATATAATTACCTTAGCTATGTTAGCATTCTGTAGAAGACGCAAATAGAATGTGCTGCGTATTCAGAACAAAATCGTATCATCCGATTGTAGCAGATAGAGGGAGCGAGAAATTTTGAGTTATTTATCAGCGTAACACATTTGTTTACAATCTGGAATCGAGCAGCGACGGGTCAGCTCAACGTCACCGTAAAGATATTACGATGACAAAACGAAAAACTGGAAGGAACAGTATCGATACCGCTAGATCAAATATCACCATACCTTGTTAAAGCACTGGGCAATTCGACCTTGACAGGTAATCTTAACTTGTGCATTTTATTTGCTACATAGACGCACTACTGTATGTTATCAGTCTCTCGCTACTCTGTACGCGATAGAGAAGCGTGCGATTTACGGCAGATGATTGTATCAGAAACATAACCAACAAATGTAGACTCGATTCTCCGTTTTGGAAAATGCTTTCCACGGGCGTGCAACAGGAATGCAAAACACATTTAACAAACAACACATAAACTAACCAACAATACTTCAAAGGGGGAGAGTTTCTAGTGAATGACTTTTACATGGACACTCGGACGGCTAATGACTTCTTTCTGGCTCGTAATCGTTCGGAGATGGTTGAAGACTAAGATCTACGACGCAAACTCATATTACGATCACGCTATCATTTCGAGTTAAACGACCGAACGTTCGATGTTCGTTCACCGCACTCACTGTCCGCGCACATAACTCTTTTTTACCGATTCACTGTATCGTATGCTTCCAGAAAATTGACACTTAACAAAAAAGAAAAACGAAGATGGCGTCAGCCAAAGGCACGCGAACGATTAGGATGGTCGAGGAACTCGAAGCGTTCTGAACCGTCGGCACACTTTCCCCTCGCACGATGCCTCCCGATCTACTGAAGCGACATGCGCGATAGCGGCGATTCTCCCAATCGGTAGACAAGTATTACCGACATATGGTAAGCAATATCAACTAAACATTCTCAGCGGGAAATTCAAACGTTTAAATGAAATTTATCGAAACAAGTACTTTTAACGCGGTCACAAAATTGTACGAAAATTTTTATAAGCAGATAATAGACTACTCGATAAGATATTGGATTAATTCGAAAATAATTCGATGTCGTATTTCGATTATCTTATTTCGTTTTTAAACTATTGGGCTGTCTGGAAAGTCCATGGCGATTTTTAGTAGGCGGTACAGGTCTGAATATGTCGGAATGGTTGATATATAATTCAATAAATATGCATCAATATTCAAATATGCCTTTGAATTTTTCTTAAAAATAGGGATGAACTTTCCGGACAACCCAATATTATTTTAAAAAATAATATCCGTTGTAATATTGTCATTTTATAAGCTATTCGATGAAATACTGTCAAACTGTGTCACATAATAGTAAAATAAGAGTATGACACGAGTACCCTGGCGTAAATCCAGTCGTCAAAGAGGATCGACATTTAAGTGGAATAATTCTAAATCTACTCGACATAACAGACAAGCGCTAAAGACATAAGCAGCTTGGCTAAAATGCGAGATATTTTGCTTACCTAAGCAACGCTTTCCTCCAACAGTAATCCGTTTCGATTACAAGCAACTGTAATTTCATCATATACGTCAACTTTGTCCAAGGCATATAAGATCGTCGAAGACGTCGACCGGTGCCCGTTCGAACGCCAATCAAGAATCTCTTCACCCTACGTGGTTTCTATACGTATGTTTTCACTGTCGGGGCGCGACTTGTGCACGACCTAATTCACGGTTATCGATCAATCGAATCGAAAACGTGCTCGTGCACGGAACGCCGATGAACAATTAATGACTGCGTAAACCACAGCGTAGAAGCTTTCTTTCTCTCTTTTTAGGAGGAGCTTTTTCTCGTGGAAACCGTCGCACGTTGTACGAAATTTCGATTGCGATACATCCGACGCGCACCAGGATATATCGCGACAGATTTGTTTCCGTTACGATCTAACTTCTCGTTAAATGTTCTCGCGATCTCGTGGCCGTTTAACTTTCCTGAAGAAGTGGTCCGCGGACGAGTGCCACGGTCGCATCTCGTCTGGTCACAGTGGAACTCGAGCTGTGACCGAAAGGATAGCAGAGCTTTCGTCGAATCTCCGCTGGAAAGCCCAAGAGCGCCGCACAGGAGGTCATTAGGAAAGGCGCAAGCGCCCCTTCATAGATCGTGCTTTTCTCATGGACAGCTCGGTGGGCTGATGGCAACCAGTGACGTCATTGCAGAAGGGAGATTCATTCACGAATGTTCGACGCCCCCACATCTCTAAGGCCAAGGACCTTCGCATGGAAATTACTAGCGACGTATAGTTAGCACCTTAGTCACGAACAATATTTCCCCAAAGTTTACACGCCATAAGCCCTTCCACCATCTACAATACATAACATTTCTACCATTGAAACAAGTTTGAAATCGTATCCTACTTTCTTTCGAAATACAGGGTGTCCCAAAAATGTTGTAACACCTTGAAAGGGGTGATTCGGGAGGTGATTTGAAACAACTTTTTCCTTAGCGAAAATGTTGTCCGAGGTTTCGTTGAGGAGATATTAACGGAAAACCCCGACCAATCAGAGCGTGCGGATACTGTTGCAGCGCCCGCGATAGGCGTGACTACGCGCTAGGCGGCCGCGCTCATACGCTACCCGCGAGCGCTCCACCGGCATACTCGCGCTCTGATTGGTCAATGTTTTCCGTTAATATCTCCTCAACGAAGCCTCGAACAACATTTTCGCTAAGGAAAAAGTTGTTTCAAATTACCTTCCGAATCACCCCTTTCAAGTTGTTACAACATTTTTGGGACACTCTGTATATTATTTGAATACATATGTCTTCTCATACTCGATATTTTAATTTGTCTGACAATTTTTAGAAGGAATCCAAATCGTGTGACTCGAGTCATAAACGTGACTTGAATATTTTTTTATTACACTCCTTGTGCATGCTTTGATAAATGAAACTCAAACCTTAAATTACTTGTGCAATATGTTTTTCTTTCTTATTAGGTTGTCCCAAAAGTTTCTTTCGTGAGTTGCATTCAATTATTTTCTGTGGCAGTGTTTATATAAATAGAAAATCTAATTTCTTAGACATTGATGCTGTAACAGTAATGAAGCGAAATGAATCGTACACAATTCATTAATGTAACATAAAACATAAAATATTATGCATATATTAATTAATATTAAAACGAAAGAAACTTTCGGGACAACCTAATACTTTACATTAATACATCCGAAGTTTATTTATCAGTGTAACGTACTATTGATCCTCCGTAACTCAAACATCTTTAAGTCGAGGTTTCGTTTATTTTCTTTTGTAACTTCTCGACAACTCAAAAAACAAACAAAAACTATAGCTATCTACAAGTTATAACTGACAATCAGCTGCGCAACGCAGTTCCCAGTTATATCTTGTAGCTGCGCAGTACAATTATTTAACCACTACAACTCGAATTTATATAAATTAACATTTGCAACTTGAAATTGTACCGTCGGAAATTGAAAGGTCAATTTACAAAGTCCAACGAAATCATCATAATCAAAATTGTTAATCACAGTATGTCATTAGTCACATTAGTCGTTACTAAATACTAGTCACCTTTTTGACACAACTGTACACCTAAGTACAAGAGAAATCTTAAAGTTTGAATCTTAATAAAATTACACTTATAACTGCGTTCGTTTTTCTTAGATACTCTATAATTAATAGATTATTCCGAAGGCATTTTAACTGAAAATAATTTTCATTTCGACTTACTGAGGTTAGACTGTATCGATATATGAATATATCTTATATGATATATTCAAATAATGTCATTTCTGTTTTAAGGATTCATAGTTACTTATAAAACATACAATCGGCTACTCATGATTGGTTAAAGAGGCGAGTTACGTGCCAGACATAGTTTACGTTTCGAAAGAAGAACCAATCGAATAACGTGTTTTATGTGACCATGATGTTCGTAAATGTCTACCTTATTTTAACTTTCTGCCTCTAATCCGAGGATCTGCAAGTAAACAATCAAAGAAGCACTGCTAAAAGCTGTGTAATAATTGTCCTTGTCAGTATTAGTTATATTGTTAAATACATAATGGTAAGTTTTCCTTGATATTCCATTATTTCCCGTAGTATTTATCCGATTTAATTCAAAATAATATAACCTCAAATACAGTCTACATTTTCTTCGTAGGATGTATTTCTAATGATCCGACGAAAAAATATGACGATATTTACTGATGCAAAGGAGAATACAACGATTTTTGAACTAAAAAAAATTATAGAAGGTGAGGAATACGTAATTGATATGTACGCGAATTAAAGAAACAGAGTCTGACAGCTTAAGCATGAATTGCTAATTTTTTATTCGCCATTTCACAAACTTTGGTGTTATATTCTAAATGTTTATGAAATGCGAATCCTGCTAATTAAATTATCAATGTTATTATCGCACAGGTATACTAAAGATAACACCTGTCAATCAACAGCTGTTCAACAAAGATAATGTTGTAATGTCGGATACCAAACTTTTGGGTGATTATGGACTGACATTTGCAACTGCAAAGCCACAGTGTCCTGCATTAGTAGGATTAGCCGTGCGCCAAGAAAATGGTCAATTCGAACCTTTAGAGATGACTCCATTTTCATTACCACCAGACCTGCCAGATGTCATGAAATCCCAAGAAACCAATGGCTTAGATCAGATGCCTTGTAACAAATTAATCTGTGAATGAGCTGACAATAAGGTGTTCAATTCAATATAATTTTTGTGATTGTCAGACATCTCAAAAAATCTGACAGCTTAAGCAAACATAATGTGAATACTAGATATATGCAACTTTATATGATTATTAAAGGTGTCCTGAGACTTTCTAATTTCCTTAGTGAAAGTACTAGTAGTTATTAACATTTTTGACTTCTGTTCTTTTTCTTTTTTTTTTTGTGCGTAATGCTCAAGTACTACTTGTACTTGAATAATTTAATGAAAACGATAATAAAATATAAAGTTTATAATAGAGTGCATCACTTAAATTTATTACATTCTTTTATAGCTGCAAAAACATTTCAACATTTTGTTATTAACGCCAAGACAGACCAAATACCTCAGTCACATGTAATTTACAATTGTAACTTTTATCATAGCGTTTTATAATATTTTCAATCTATTTATTTCTTATTTGAGTATATCTTATTTAATTACGAATCTCCGTGAAGTTTTTAGTTAAGCTTTGAACAAATACAAATGCTTCAAATTTTTCAAAATCTGTACAATAATATTATTTATTACTTAATGTTCAAAATTGAGGAATACTGATTGTAAAAACATTGAATATTGGTTTCTGCGGTTACAAAATAGAAATTTCAAAATGTGATAAATGATAAATAAATAGTGTATGTAATTTTAATATATTGATTACATTTTACGAGTAATGATACATAATACAACAATAATTTTGAATATAAAATATATTTCTATCAATAATATTTTGTTATATATTTTTAAGAACTTTATTTACGTATTCTGTAATCTATTTAGGTGAACAATGTAAAATGCATCATATCTCTGATATGTGAACTTATGAATGCAAAAATTCTATGCAATTTATAAATACATTAAATGCATTCATAATATACAGTATTTGTCACCCCAAAAATAATTACAAATATAAACACTGGATGAGGACTAAATTGTTCAGACTGAACTAGTCTAAATCAATTTAAATTGAAAATTCAATATATTACAAGATATTAATTCATATACTAATTTGTTTACATCCAAATAATATTCTTAACTTTATCAAATGAGCTTCTATATTGTAGGCACTACTAATAAAATTTAGGGAGTACAATACTAATAACATAAATATGTGCTACTATAATTGGTAAATTATGTAATAAATTGACATTTCTTAAAACTGAAAATAATAAGGAATCACAGCATACAGACTAAGATTGTTGATACTTACCTAAGCATTTAATTATATGAATATGTTTACTTTGTATGTAGGTTCACTTTTCAGATGCTAAATATTTACAATTGATGATGCTTTTTATTTCTCCATCTCTAATGCATACTGTATGATGTTTATTCACAGTTTATTTAAATAAATTTATAAATGTCACTCAATAGGAATTATATTTTGCAATCTACATTAATAATTATCTTTGTTTTTAATGGAAAACATTTCTGTTATAAAATCTTTAAAAATCTCTTTTTTACTTGGTATATAGTGACCACCTTCGTGTGTTACTATTTTCTTGTTTATAAAAAATTCACTAACTTCTTTTGCCATATCTGCAAAAAGAGCAATATAGTGATAGCCTTTTTTCTTCAATAACTTATTAAAGACTCTCTAACCTGCTGGAATAATTTGATCACTCTCCCCATAAATATGTAAAGTAGGTATCTTTATCTTTTCATTGTAGTATATTGCATGATTTGCACATAATGATTTAAATCCTGATATAATAATTGCAAAGTCAAATTTGATTTGCAGTACTGTAAAATGATTTGCTTGTAATCCCACTTCATATTATAATGTTTACATAATATACTTACATTTCTTCTGTTGCATAAAACAAAGTATAGTAACAAATGTTGCTCCTTGTGAAAAACCTAGAATACCATCAAATGGGCCAGATTCTTGGAATGTTTTCTCAATTAAAGTCAAACTATCATCAAAACCTACAGATAAATTGCTTGGAACAACTGCTTTAAATATGTGGTCTTCTGTATTAAACCACCATGCATAACCTTTAATGCATAAACATATTATTTCAAAAATATTGAACGTTTCATAAACTAATGGGATAATCGTGACAATATAGAAGCTTAAGTTGTAATTTTTCGTTTAATGAATCATATATTTTATGAAACAATACCTTCTTCTGTCTTGTCAGTACCAAAGTTACTTTTCATTGGAACTTGATGTGGACCCCTTAGGAATACAAACTCTACTTGATTTTTAAATCCTTTTCTTAAAGATCCCAATTTCGCTTTGAAAATAACATCTGATTGAGCATATCCATGGATAGCAAGTATCTAAAATATATATATTTTACATGTTATTCGAAATATTGTTATGGTTAGTTTTTCAACACGATTACTGATTACTGCTTACACGTAACTTATGAGGCAACGCAGTCATATTACTTAAATAAATTATAAAAATATATTACGAATACTGAATACGTATAATAAACTATAACGCTGTACACAAATTAGTTTTGTATTTAGTAGTTCGATACTATATATATTCGGTACATTATACTTCTATAGTGATATAAAAATTTGTTAAATGTCATTTGAAACAATACAAGAATAATTTTAAGTAGCTTATAATTGTAAAAACTATAAATGAAACAATTTTCTAGACATGTAGTCACGTGATGCAATACTTGAATAATATTGATTATAGGTTAAGTTCAATTTTGTTTACATTTTACGTAGAATGCCGTGGAAATTAAAAGAACACTTATCCTATTAATTTACGATAAAGCAGTTTCAATCAAGGATAATTTATTTATATTGGGAAAACTACAAATAAAACAAACTATATTCAATATCAAAGTTTAGTCCTGGACATTTTTAATATATGAAAATAACAAAGTGACTACTAATTATTTTCATTTTTTCGGAAACGCAATTCCGACGACGTTAAGAAAATAATATTTATTTATATTTTAAAATTAAATTACCATCCTTATAAATAACATTATTTTAATAATCACTATAATTATTTTCTTAACAAAATATTCAAACACGAATGTTTAAAGATCGCTAAGATCGACAGCGTCCACTTGTGCGCTAATATTCTCTTCGTTTTGGGTATTTTCTTCAGTTCCTACTTTATTTTCTCTACAAAAATAGAGCTTTGCCCATGATCCAGGTTCAGCTTTCTTCAATTTAATTTCTACTTTAGTAGGAAGCATGTTAGCGCTGCTTTGACTAATATCAACAACCTGTGAAGATAGAATTTTGTACACAATACCTAATTAAGATAATTACTTAAATAAATATTACTTTCACTTAAAAATTTCAAACATGTACCCCTCTTAACTCTAAATCAATGGCATATCTTGAATTATCTTCTGCAAACAGTAAATCCACGGATAGACGTATAGGATTTAATTTAATAACTGATTGGTTTGGTTTATATCTTTTTGCAAAGATAGAAACTACAACAAATGTTCCTGTTTGATGCCAATCCAATCTGCATTCTTTTTGTTTACTGGTATTCTGAAAAATAACAAATTAATTTTTATCCAAAAATAAAAGTTTGCAATTATGGATGATTTACAAAGTGTCCATTATTAATTTTAATATACCTTAGAAACCCATGCATGTTTTCCTTGCGTGCACCCTGGTTGTTCTAAGAAAGTAGAGAAGTCTGTAGTTTTTTTTCTACAGCACGACCAATACTTCATTCCTTCATGGAAAATAGGAGAGCCAGGATGATGATTACATATTTCATCATCAGATGCAGGACCATTATATACACCTTTGCATGCATTATTTTTACAACTTTGTCCTATTTCAACTTTAGTCTCAGACACATTCTCTAATTGTGAAAAAGTTAACCCTTTAATTTGTTCTAGCAATGTGGATGAAACAGTTGGTGTAATAATAACTTGTGGAGTGTCAAATGGAGGCCTTTCTAAGGCAGATCCATTATTAAGAGGAGCAGTTACTTTGATTACTTCATTAGACTTAGATTTATCAACAACAGGTTTCTCTAACTCTGGTGGTTTTATATTCGAATGTTGTGACTTTGTACAGCCTTTGATGTTCAAAAATTCTGTGAAATCTGTACACTTTTTGTTACAACAAGACCACCCTTTATAAGCATCATGAAATACAGGATAACCAGGGTGATGGATACAGTCCCCTGGAAATACAATCACCAAATGAAATTTTGGCATGGTTGGTTATCTAACTATTTAGAAAATAAATAAATTCTTATTTTAACTGTTTTAAGTATTTACATGTTTAAGTGTTTTCCATGCAAAAATTAACATACCTTCCTTATTATCGTCTGGATCAAACTTTTTTCCACAGCCACGATTGTAGCAATGCAACAAAGTTGCCTCCTGCGACATTTTTAACTCTATTCTAGATCATTCAAAAATACAATACGTCACTACAAAGATCAGCTGCACTACTCCACACTACTCCACTAGAGGCTTGATGTTATGTTCTTGCCAACCATGCGACGAGAAGGGGAGATCAGTAGATTCATCCAGAAAGCCCTGGAAAGATCACCGCTCGTTGAGCCGCCTTATGAATGGATCTTAGTGGCGCCATCGATGGCAAAACGCTCAAGTTTGTAGTGAAACTAGTTCCGATCGTTTCTGTGAGATGGCGCCACCGACATCTTTTAATCAATAGTTCAGATCCTTAAAATCCAGAGGTCACTTACAGTTACACTCATTGCTGCTTCCCCTCAAAGTCGACAGAGTGATGAATAGATAGTTTTGGATAGTTTTGTGTCATTATCATATGACATTTATCAGTAAACACCATGTCATTAATTGACGTCCCAAACGGATCGAATGAATGTCTATAGTTGTATATACTTTACTTGGAAAATATACCTAAGGATACACAAAAGGGAAAGACTAAGTGCCTACATATAATATGAAGTATAACCTATAAAATATAATACTACTTAACATGTTAGCAGTATAAGGCGTTCCTACAGTCATGGAAATTCAAAATATATTTCTAATATTTTACATGATTTTTACTATAGAAAACAGTTGTAAGTTCATCATATGAAATTTCTACTACTCTTCATCGTACAACTAATTTTAGTTCGCTGATTGGTAAATACGTTGTTGTAGATGGTCTTCATAGAAACTTAAAGTATTATGAAACCCTTCATTCATCTCATCTTCAACATAAAATTATAAAACGGGGTGTTCAACACAGTTATCATCCTTATAACAAAATAAGTGAATTAGAATTTTATTCTCATGGCAGGTAAGAATATTATCCCTAAATTGGTATAAAGTAATAGTCCTTTCACTTAGAAAAAAAAAATTATGTTTTTTATTGACAGATCCTTTCGTTTAATTTTAACACCACGAAGAGAAGTCATTCATTCTAAGTTTAAAGCATATGAAGTCAATGGGGATGGAAAGGAAAGAACTGTACATTTAGGTAAAATAATATAAGTATATATGAATGTATATTTTTATACAACTTATAATGTACTTATAATGTATTTTTTTTTTAAGATCATGAAAGTTTTTATCATGGACGTGTATTTGGTGAAATTGATTCTCATGCACAAGTACATATTGACAATGGAATTCTAACTGCCACTATTACAATTTCTGATGAAACATATCACATTGAAGTATGTAATATTTGTTTTTATTTACTGCAACACCTTTTTGTTGAAATAACAATTCATAATAAAACATGTTATCTACTTCAGCCCTCTTGGAGACATTTACCTCACTTAGGAAATGAAACAATGATTATCTATAAATCGTCAGATGTTAAACTTAGTTGGGAACATTTTCAAGATGGTGAAGGACACACACATGGTGTTCCAAAAACCTGTGGATATGTAAAAGAAGAATTAGGTTGGTTATTGCTTTGTGTAGATGATTTCATTGAACAATGTTATATTATTATGCAAAATTTATTATATAGACATACCAATAAGTGATGAGAAACGGATAGAAGAAGAATCTGATACACTTTCTAGAACAAAAAGACAAACAGAAACCTATGAATACACTCCAACAAAAACTAGATGTCCTTTATTACTGGTTGCGGATTACCGTTTTTATCAAGAAATGGGAGCTAGTAGCACAAAAACGACTATTAATTATTTGGTAAATAATTGGTTTTGTTGCTGTAAATAATTGACATTTCATTACTAAATAAGAATGTTTCTATACTTCATAGATAAGTTTAATCGATAGAGTACATAAAATTTATAACGATACTTTATGGCAAGAACGGCAAGAGCAAGATGGATTTAAAGGAATGGGATTTGTTATTAAAAAAATAGTAGTTCATAGCGAGCCAACTCGTGTAAGAGGTGGGGAAATACATTATAATATGGTTAGAGAAAAGTGGGATGTACGCACGTTACTTGAGGTAAAAGTTCAGTTTTCTTTATACTTATTAAAAATGCTTATGTTATTGAATACAATTTATGTAAATGATATTCAGGTATTCAGTAGGGAATATAGTCACAAGGATTTTTGCTTAGCACATTTATTTACTGATCTCAAATTTGAGGGTGGTATATTGGGATTAGCGTATGTCGGATCACCGCGTAGAAATTCAGTAGGTGGAATCTGTACACCAGGTACATGAAAGAATTTTTTGCTTCGCCAAAGTACAAACGCTGTACTAAATCAAATTGCATTTAATATTTTTGTGTTAGAATATTTCAAGAACGGTTACACGCTGTATCTCAACTCAGGATTAAGTTCTAGTAGAAATCATTATGGGCAAAGAGTAATTACAAGAGAAGCTGATTTAGTCACTGCACATGAATTTGGACACAACTGGGGTTCTGAACATGATCCAGATATTACAGTGAGACTGTTATTTCTACTCATTTCTAATTCAAGAATTAAAAAAAGGAATAATTAAATAACCGAATTTTGTTAATAGGAATGCAGTCCAAGTGCTAGTCAAGGAGGGTCGTATTTAATGTATACTTATAGCGTTAGTGGATACGATGTGAATAATAAGGTATATTTAATAAAAAAATTATATAAAAAAAAGATATAACGATATTAAAAGAATACTCATTATTAACTGTTTATGGATCAGCGTTTTTCGCCGTGTAGTTTAAGATCCATTAGGAAAGTTTTACAAGCAAAGTCGGGTCGCTGTTTTTCTGAACCGGAAGAATCGTTTTGTGGTAATCTTCGAGTCGAAGGAGACGAAGAATGCGATGCAGGATTATTGGGTACAGAAGATAATGATGCTTGCTGTGACAAGAACTGCAAACTTCGTAGAAGTCAAGGAGCAGTTTGTAGGTTAGTATCTATGTATGTATTATTATGATATATGTATTTCTGTTCACAGTTTTAAATGACATTTAACGTAAAATATTTGTTTAGTGACAAAAACTCGCCCTGTTGTCAAGGTTGTGCATTCATGCCGTTAGGTGTAAAGTGCAGAGATGCTCAGTATGCTACTTGCGAGCAAGAATCTCGCTGCACGGGAGCATCTAGCGAATGCCCGAGATCTCCACCAATGAAAGATGGTACAGGTTGTCTTGAAAGAGGTCAATGTAGACTTGGCAAATGTGTACCGTATTGCGAAACACAAGGTCTACAAAGTTGCATGTGTGATACAAGTATGCTTGTTATTTTATGTGGTTAATTTACGCGATGTATCAGGTACGATATGCTTTCATATTACATTTTTATTCGCAGTTGGAGACGCGTGTAAAAGATGTTGTCGCATGAGTTTGAATGAAACTTGCTTCCCCATAGATCCACAGGATATTTTACCTGATGGAACACCATGCATTCAAGGATTTTGTAATAAGGTAATATTACTCGAGACATAGTATTAAATTTTATAGATAAAAGTATGAAAGTTAACAAATGCTTTCAGGGTATTTGCGAGAAAACAATTCAGGATGTAGTAGAACGATTTTGGGATATAATCGAGGACATAAATATTAATAAAGTTATGCGATTCTTAAAAGATAATATAGTGGGGGCTGTCATAATTATCACTGCCATCGTATGGATTCCGACAAGTTGCGTCATTAGTTACATCGACCACAGACGCGTTAGAGAAAGCGAAAAGAAATGGCGTTGGAAAAATACAGATGAGCTTATTCATCCAGATGAACAAAGACAAGTCATTTATATAGGTGGACAACGACAAAGGATACAACAGGTTACACAACAATAAGTATTTCATTCATGTATATATTTACACAAGTGCTATACCTAGTGATAATTCTAGTCCCAAATACTTCTATATTACATATGTTTTCATTTTTTATGTTCATATGTAAACAACATTTTTGACAGAAGTAAATAGTATTATTTTAAAGATAAATATGTACAATAATTTATGTAATTTCTTCCTTTGAAGTATTATATAATTTTATATATATTTATATTATGTTTTATTTATAAATTGTACAAAAATAAATACAGAATTTATATACGAGGTTGCAGTGTAAAATAATGTACACATCCTTTTCAACTAATTCTTGTTGAAGAATATTCACATACATACTAAAACAGATCAACTGGTTTTGTCTATACACAGACTAAATAACACTAGAGCTTAAACATCGATGCATGAAGATTCTTATAATTCTTCAGGCAGATCTCTTGATTGATAACAAAGGTGATGACTTTCTCCTAAATATTAAGAATTAATCTTCTCCTGTGTACAGGAGGATATATAATAATCTATTTTTAGAATATAGTAATATTTGATCCATTATCAAGAATCGAGGTTCTCAACTCGAATATATCGTTCACCTTTCTAAAAACACGTGCATGGCTTCTGGTGCTAACCAGTGCTAACCTCTCCAACATTTCGTTACGTGTCTTCGATGCATGAGGCATGACACCTTAAATCGATAGTTGCATCAGATCAGGACTGATCAGAACCAGCCGGTGCTGAATATTTCGCGAAATAGTTGTTGACAGTTCCTTGAATATGACAGAAAAACTTCCGGAGTCTATAAATTTCCCAAGGGAAGAGGAGATAGTTTTGGAATTGTGGAAAGAACGCAATACTTTTCAAAATTGTCTGAAGCAGTCAAAAGGAAAACCGAAATATGCGTTCTACGACGGTCCACCTTTTGCCACTGGACTACCTCATTATGGTCACATACTCGCAGGGACGATAAAAGATATTGTGACAAGATATGCTCATCAATCTGGTTTTCACGTGGAAAGGAGATTTGGTTGGGACACTCATGGCTTGCCTGTCGAATTTGAAATAGATAAGACTCTGAATATAAAAGGTCCTGATGATGTTGCTAAAATTGGAATAGCAAACTATAACAAGGAATGTAGAAAGATCGTGATGCGGTATGCAACAGAGTGGGAAACAGTAGTGAGTAGAATTGGCAGATGGATAGATTTTAAGAACGATTACAAGACCCTCTACCCCTGGTACATGGAATCTATCTGGTGGATCTTCAAGGAATTATATAATAAGGGTCTTGTATATCAGGGTATTAAAGTAATGCCTTTTTCTACTGGTTGTAACACACCACTATCCAATTTTGAATCAGGACAAAATTACAAAGATGTTGTTGACCCTTCTGTAGTTGTATCTTTTCCCTTGGTGGATGAACCAGCTATTTCTATTCTTGCTTGGACTACCACTCCTTGGACTCTACCTAGCAATTTAGCACTTTGTTGTAATCCTAATTTCGAATATGTGGAAGTTAAAGATCATTCTTCTGATAACATTTATATTATATTAGAGTCAAGTTTAGAGCTTATATATAAATCTCAAGATTTATACACTGTACAGGGTAGAAGAAAAGGATCAGATTTAAAGGGAAAGATATATAAACCCCCTTTTCCATACTTTCAACATTTAAGAGAAAAAGGTGCTTTTGTAGTACTAAACGATACATATGTTACTGCAGAGTCTGGTACAGGTATAGTACATCAAGCTCCCTATTTTGGTGAGGATGATTATCGATGTTGTTTAGAAGCTGGTGTTATAACAAAAGACCAGGAAATTATATGTCCTATTGATGGCTGTGGACGTTTTGTAGAACCAGTCATTGATTTTGCTGGAAAATATGTAAAAGATGCTGATAAAGAAATAATAAAATATCTTCAAACAAATAAGAGATTAGTTCATAGCAGTACCAGTAAGCATAGTTATCCATATTGTTGGAGATCTGATACTCCATTAATTTATAAAGCTGTGCCTTCATGGTTCATCAGAGTAGAGGCAATAAAGGATCAACTCATAGCAGCCAACAGTAATACTTACTGGGTACCGGATTCTGTTAAAGAAAAACGATTTGGTAACTGGTTAAGAGATGCACGCGATTGGGCCATCAGCAGAAATCGTTATTGGGGTAATCCAATCCCATTGTGGGTATCAGATGATGGACAAGAAGTTGTATGCATAGGAAGTATGGCAGAATTGGAAAAATTAACCAACACAAAAGTAACAGACATTCACAGAGAAAGTATAGATCATTTAACTATACCCTCAAATCGACCAGGCTATCCACCTTTAAAACGTGTACCTGAAGTCTTTGATTGCTGGTTTGAATCTGGATCTATGCCATATGCACAAATGCATTATCCTTTTGAACATAGGAAAGAATTTGAAGAGAACTTCCCAGCTGATTTTATTGGAGAAGGTATTGATCAAACGCGCGGATGGTTTTATACTCTATTAGTTATATCAACTGCACTTTATGGAAAAGCTCCATTTAAAAATCTTGTTGCCAATGGCTTGATTTTGGCATCTGATGGACAAAAAATGTCCAAACGTAAGAAAAATTATCCAGACCCTATAGAAATTGTTAATAAATATGGAGCAGATGCTCTGCGTTTGTACTTAATTAATTCTCCTGTTGTAAGAGCTGAAAATTTACGATTTAAAGAAGAAGGAGTTAGAGATGTTATAAAAGATGTATTCCTACCTTGGTATAATGCATTCAGATTTCTAATGCAAAATATTGAACGATTTGAGAGAGAAGAAAAAATTACTTTCATACATGATGAAACTAAAAATGTACATTCTAATAATATCATGGATAAATGGATTCTATCTTTTACACAAACATTATTAGAATTTGTTAAACAGGAAATGCAAGCTTACAAATTATATACTGTAGTACCTCGTTTGGTAAAGTATATAGATAATCTTACTAACTGGTATGTAAGAATGAACAGGAAACGTATAAAAGGTGATGGTGGTATAACTGATTGTCAGCAAGCATTAAATACTTTGTTTTCTGCTCTTTATACCATGGTGCGTATTAATGCACCCTTTACACCATTCTTAACAGAATTTATGTTTCAACGTTTAGTGAAAATCCTACCATCATCTAAAACTAATATGGACAGTGTTCACTACCAAATGATACCAGAGTCCTGTCCACAGTTAATCAATGAAAGTACTGAAAAAGCAGTATCCTACATGCAAACAGTAATTGAATTAGGACGTGTTGTAAGAGACAGGAAAACTATTCCTGTGAAATATCCATTACCAGAAGTCATAGTAATTCACCAAGATGCCAAAGTTCTAGATGAAATAGTCTCTTTGAAGTCGTATATCCTTGAAGAACTTAATGTAAAGGAACTCACAGTTACTACAGATAAACAAAAGTATGGTGTTGTATTGAGAGCAGAACCAGATCATAAAATACTTGGAGCACGCCTTAAGGGAGAATTTAAATCTGTTACACAAGCTATTAAAGAGCTTACCGACGAACAATTACAAACTTTTGTCGCAACAAAAGAAATTATTGTACAAGGTCACAAATTAGAAGAGCAAGATTTACGTTTGATGTTTAGTTTCACTGGACCTGCTGCTGAACAACTATCCAAGCAATATGAAGCCCATAGCGAAGGAAATATTTTAATTCTGTTGGATGTTACTCCTGATGAAAGTATGCATAATGAAGGATTAGCAAGAGAAGTAATCAACAGGATTCAGAAACTGCGGAAGAAAGCTCAATTGGTTCCATCGGATGATGCAATTGCATATTATGAAATCCAAGACAAAGATAGTAATTTAGCAAAAGTGATTGTTAGTCATAAAGATTTTATCGAAACTGCAACTAAAACACTGCAAGAAGATATATCCACAATGCCAAGTAATGCAAGTGTAATCATAGAATCAATGCAAAATGTTAAAGGAGTAGATATGAAACTCGTTTTAACAAAAATTATACAACAAGATCAAAATAACAAAACGGATGCAGAAACTTTGTTAAAATATGTAAATGTTGAGCTTATAGATATAAAACCACGATTTGGAGCAACTAGTTGCTTAGGAACTATTTTACTAGAAACTCTGAAATCACTAACTCCAATTTCATATGAACAATTAAAGCGTGAAATTGAATTAATATTTGGAATTTATAATTATCCTTACGACTTATATATTAATGATAAACTGATGTTAGAATTACCTGATATTTCGTCATTGCATCAACAAACAATAAGCGTAAGAAAAGCAGGTTCGCCTACAACTCAATCATCTACAGCATTAAAATATCCAGTTTGTAAATTTGTTAACATCGATAGTACTGTAGGAAAGGGTACCATTCTATTAGAAAATCCAAAACAAAACTTTAATTTAGATCGCGTAATGTTAAAACAACAATTACATCTTTTCTTTGGTAAAGAAAATATTTCCGAATCTTTACCTACAATGTTAAGTGAATTACATGGAAAAACATTGCAACTAATTTAACATTAATCTAAGAAATAAATTTTATTTATTTGGTTTATTTGATTTATTTCAAGGTTAAATAGTTCCATTAAAATCTGAATGATGGTCGAGTGAAATACGCTACAAACCTAGCTTTGTCTACAAAGTATTTACTTATTTATTTAACATAAAAGACTTTGTAAGTCGTTATTTATGTTTTCTGCAAAAAACAATATGTAACTAATTGTTTTGTACGATTGAAAAGTAATAAATGATTATTAATTATACAATTCTCATACTACCGAATTCGTACTCCAATTCCAATAAATTCAGATGAGAAATACATTTTTATGTACATTAACTTAATCCACAGACTTGGAAGTATACTAATGCAAGAAAACATCGAATAAATTTATTCACATTTATTCATTTATTCACATTCAATAAAACAATTGTAATGATATTTTGTAATTACAGTTTTCTACAAACTACTATAGTACAGTGAATTATAGAGATAATTACGTATCACCGTTCTTGCCGACATCCTTTGCCAGAGATAGTAATGAAATTTCTTTTTGTGGAAGTAATACGAATTGTACCTTGTAGCAAGGTACAACTATGATGATTTTGAATACATTGCGAATTATGTGTATATACACTAATAATTTTTGTAACGATGAATATAATGGTGCTTAAAAAACAAATTATCTTTATATGAAACTTTCATTCGAGAATCGTGTTTCAAAAAGTTTATAAGAGTGTAATTTTTCGCACAAAAATTAAACGCGCTTAATTCTAATGCAGATTGCAACTTATAATTTAATAATCATATTTAGCTTATTTAGATTTAAGTCACATGTGCAAATGTACATGGTGTAACTTTCAAATCCAATCAAACAATTACAAACATGTAAACGTATAACAAACGTTTCCTTGAAAGTAATATAATACAGCACCATTGTAACCATAGTATATAGTATTTATTATAAATAATTCAACAATCGAATAATATTTACCAAATATTAATTTCACAAATATATCTGAATGAACAAATGTTGACTAGTTACTAAACGAATTGATTCTTTAATACGAATGTAATGTCACAATATACCTGTTTCCTTTTCCAGTTGTAGTGTTAGGTTAACCGAAGAATACAATTTTTCCAAACATATAAATTAATTTTAAACTTAATGCATACAAATTCATTTCAATTGAAATGCAATCATACCTAGTTAGGCGGATCTCATCTCTTATTCAAATGAATTAATTTAAACCATTGGTTAGAATCACAATAGCCCCTTATGATTTTTTTTAACGTCAGGAACAAGTGTCTTGAAACGATATCAATGTTACAAAATTATGTTTCAAAATAATATCTTAAAGCGTTTCCCACGAAATGTAATTCAAATTTACTCTATGTTTCTAATGTTGTCTTGATCAAGAAAGAAGTGACTAAACAACGAAACAGTAAAAATTGCGGTGAGCGCGTATAATGCAAGAGTAGTAGTTGCAGTAAAAAGTTGAGCGCAATGGTATAAAGTATACCAAGCAAGACCTATTAGAAGAGTCAGAATACTGACTAAGAGTCTACTTAAATCCCACTCATTATGAACTGAACTAATTTCTCTAGCAACAGGTATATCTGCTAGTGTTGCAGGTATATTTGAGAATGACTGAGGAATAAGATAAAAAGTCGACGAGTTGTCTAGCGTCGACGTTTGAGATGGTACAGGGTTTGGTCGAGGCTGGTGTATCAAACAGTGAACGACGCAGTTGTTATATAAACCACATCGCTCTAATGTGTGACTATCAGGTTGTAATACACGACCTTTAAAAACTAAACGCACCAATTTCTGTGCTTCAAATTCTATTTGAAAATGCCTCCTGTAAAATACAAAAATCTATTATATATTTACACATTTCATATGTTTATATATAATTTATAATATTAAATGATAGTAACCTTTTAAAGTCTCCAAGCAGCTCTTTAAGGCTACCAGTAACAACCTTTTGATCATCATTTATAAACTTAAGTTTTATACTAATTTTGTTAGCATCATTTATTGAAAGATTTTCTGGTTGCTGTTCTACACTATCAGTACACGTTGATGCTGGTATATTTGTTTCCTTGGTGTCCTCTATTTTGGTTTGTCTTTGCAACAAAGGTGTACTATCATTATTAAATGAGTCCATGGTTTTAATAAGTACTTCTTCTGTTGCAGTTGCTTCAGACACTGTATGTGTTTCAGGAGAAATTTCTCTGTTTGTGTCTATTAAGACAGACAATTAGTAAATCTGATGTTCTAATTATTCTTATAGAAATATTCTTAGATGAGACATGTCACCTGCAATGGATGATTCAGGACAACTTTGCAAAGTATCACTGTTGTCTTCAGCAATTGGTTCTACAGACTCTTCCTCTGATATTTCTAAATTTGAAGGCCGATTGGCAATGCTTGCATTCTGATTAGATCGGAGTTCAGTGATACGTGTGAGTGTTCGAGGAGTAAATATAAATACTGTGCGTATTAATGGTTGATCTACAATACTAGTAGAACACCAGGCAAGCCAGCCTACCAAGAGGACAAGTACAACGATAAAAAAATTTGTAACTTCGTCTCCAACACCCTCAATAAGAGTCATTTCTACACTTCGAGATTAACCTGTGTAAATAAAGTAAACATACATAAATAATAAAACAACATTAATACGATACACTAAGTAAAAGTAACAAATCTTCACATATGTTTGACAGCAATATGGATGTCTTTGTATTTGTAATGCATGTCCATATTCATGCATATCAATTATAATCACAAGTAGTAAATTATATATATATTAAAAACAATCGTTTTTCTATTACTTAAAAAGTGAGCAAAATAATAATACTATGGTTTTTTTAACATTTTTCCAAAATGTATTGTTTACAAACAGAAAATTTTGATCGTTTATCAACGATTTCAAGGTGAAATTCAACGTGTTTTTTTACCCACGAGAATCAGTTCAGAGATAAACTTTCAAGATATGATGAATAAGATCCTACGTAATTAAAATACATTTGTATTACTTTTTCAATATTTCCTAGTGTAGCAAGTGAATGTTATTTACACACATCAAGGAAATCTGTGCAGAGATAACGATTTCATATATTTGTCGTTATATCGTAAAGAAAAATTCACATTGCCACAAATCCTTGCTTTCTTCTTAATTGTCAATCACTGTCCTCACCTCAATTTATACGAATTGCAACAGAACAAAATTAAAGCTGCATCAAAAACAATCAAAAGCACTCGTAAAAATCTCATCTACAAATATCTGGAGATGACGCAGATAGTTTGTGACAGACAGCGACAAACGTGAACTAGTTCATAATTAATGAAAACTGAACGTATGCGTGCATGCGAATTCCACTTTCTTCTCAAAGGGAAATTTTCACTGTGCGAATATTTATTCAAAATATTCGTTTTTGCATTGGACTTAATAATAATAAAAAAAAAAAATTACTTTTTAGACAACTGCAATATTATTGCAGGATTACGTGGATTTTACCATTTGGAAAATGTGGCCAATTTTGATTGAAGGAAACTATCGTCAGAATAGTGTTGCGTTGTAATTAAATGAAATTATCGAATATGAAAAATGTTTAGAAACTGAAAGAGTTAAGACAGATTGGCATCCATAGGTGTCCAAGTTTTTTCGCAAAAGTTGGTAGAATGGACCGTCTATCTTGACGATTGTTCCGTGGCGGTATTTCGTGAGTAAAAGTAAATTTTTACAGCTCGAGGTTCGTATAAATATAAATGTTGATCTCAGCCACCTGAACGAATGCGAAGATGCAACGGGAGTCGAGCCGAGTAATATGTACATAAATTTCTGCTGGAAATGCTGTACTTCGACGAGGAATTTGTTGAAATTTATTGAACTGTCTGGCTATTCATGTTATATTTGTCCGACATAAGAATGAATCTTTGTTCGTGACACGTTCTATAAAGTCGGTGAGACGGTGATATTTGGGTCTGCATGATAAACGGGATGGGCTTTTCTACAAGTTTGCAAGGGCAAGCGTCCCACGAGGCGTTGCTCGGCCGTCAGGATGCTGAAATCAAACTTCTCGAAACGATGAAACGATGCCTGACGACTAAAGTTAAGTCGGATCGTGAGTACGCTTCCACGATTTCATCCTTAGCGAGTCAAGGAAAAAAAATTGAACGCAACGAGGATCTCGTTGGTAGTCTGATAGCACAGGTATTTCTTTAGAGTTCATAGAAACATCAATACCTTTCGAACGATTTGCTGGAATATTGGTAATTGTTACAGAGCTGGAGGGATATCATGGACTCCATCGATCAGACTGCTAAGTTAATCAAGCAACAAGCTGATTCAATTGAAGGTATAGTTGTGGAACATATCATGACACTGTGCTCCGAAAGAAGAAGAGCTAGGAAATTATATCAGGAGGAGCAGACATGGTTGAACAATCAGTTTCAACAGGTACATGAATTTTTGGAACAACTGTGTATCTAAATCTTGCATATTTTATTATATACATTTCTATTGTATGCTCTAGCTAACCGACGATGTTACCAGAAAGAAATTGGAATATCAGAAGAGTTTAGAATTGTATAAGTTGATGAGATCCCGCTTTGAAGAGCATTACATTAAATGTAAGCATTTTAATTACTTGTTTATAATTATCTGCTATGTCTCATATTATTTTTTAGCGGGTAGAGGTGGTAGAAAGTTGGATGAAGTAAGAGAAAAGTATCAAAAGGCTTGTAGAAAACTTCATCTTACTCACAACGAGTATGTGTTACTTCTGGGTGCTGTAACAGAGTGTGAGCATGATTTGAGAACGTGCTATCTACCAAGTTTGCTTCATCGGCAGCAGGCAATTCATCAAGAACTCATAACATCGTGGTAAGCATGTCTATCATTGTAGTTTGGAAATATTTATGATGTATTTCGTACTTTTGCATCGTAGATCGCTAATCTAATTTGTGTAAAATCTTTATGCACGCACATAGTTACGTACAAGGTAAATGTCAACGATGATTGTTATGATAACAACGACGATTACGTTATAAATTGATAATATTGTTTTTTATATGATAGGAAGGCCATACTTCAGGACATAGTAAAGTATTCGGACTTCACAACGGATAAGTTTCAAGAGATACATGTGCGAATGCAGAAGGCTGTAGATTTCGTGAAACCTGTAGAAGAGTACAGGGACTTTATAGGAAAGCATAGGTACTTGTTGAAAACTTGCTTTTGTCGCTGTAAATCACTT